ATCCGAGGTGATGGAGCCATAATCCGAGGTGATGGAGCCATAATCTGAGGTGATGGAGCTCCAATGCGAGTTGATGGAGTCACAATCTGAGATGATGAAGCCACAATCTGAGGTGATGAAGCCACAATCTGAGGTGATGAAGCCACAATCTGAGGTGATGAAGCCACAATCTGAGGTGATGAAGCCACAATCTGAACTACAACCTGAGGTGAAGAAGCAATTGGTCTACTAGAAGCAGAAAGGGGGCTCAATATTGTGTCAGGCAAACTTTTCTGTTGGATTACGGTTGGCAGCTGATTAGTTCTCACAAGAACGCAGCCATTTTCAGTAACACCAGGAGACTTTGCCACTGCAACATTATTTGTTGGCTTCAATACAACTGGTGAACTAGCCAAAGGTGGCACAGTCAAGGGAACTGGAAGAACACTGAAAACAGCAGGAGATACTCTGGAACCAGTTGATGTAGATATCTGATATTGCCTTACAATGGATTCATCAGAAGTGAAGTCTGAGGAGTTCTTCGTAGCTTCAACATGTGAACCTTTCTGGTCCACTTTGATAGGTGTCGGGGATAACATCTGAACACTATGTAGCACACTTTTGCTCTGTACTAAGGTAGAAGTAGGTGAAAGAGGTGTCTGGATGCCATTGGGGCTAATGTTCACAGAGGAGGAAGTCTTTAGGGTATCTCTGGGGGCATTTGAGACTGAAGAATGGATAAGGGCAGGACTAACAGAGGAAGCAGCAACATCCAGTGCAGATGATGCTGGGTATAGATTAGTTGAGATGCATGGACTAATACTGTTATTCAGGGTGGAACTATTTGGCACAGTTAGTGTCTGGTTGCTTGGGATATTAGCAGAAAGTGGACCAGTTACTTGTACCAACTTGGTGGGCGTAAAAATCCAGTTTACTGCCTGCATCTGCAATGTAATAGTTGGAAAAACAACATTCTGTTTGCCTTGATTTAGTTTCTGTGACTCTTTTTTACTACCTTTAGCTTTAGCTTCTTCCATTAGGGCTTGGACTTTCTCAGTAGGTTTGCGGATGCGTTTTGCAGATCTGATGCTGTTTGAGTCCTCTGTACTTGGTGATTTGGGGGTTGAGGCCATGACAGGTTGTGCAGGTGCTGTCAGCTGTATTAGCGGTAGAGGAATCTGTGATAAAACTTGTGGTGGTGACTTAATTAGTAAAGGCTGCACTGCCCTCTGCTTGTTTGGCTGTGTAATGACAAGAGTTTTGGGTTGAATCAAAGTAGGGGTTGTCATCTGCCTGACTGGCAGTTGGAGAGGGTTAAGAAGAACCGGCTGCAGGGGAGGTGGATGTTGAGGAGGTTCTGCAGGTTTCTTGTGCTCAGCTTTCCGTTTTGCATCCTTAAGAATCACAGACACTTTTTGAGGAGGAGCCAAATAACCATAAGAAGAAAACATCGACATTAAGCATGTTACTGCAGAAAGAACTGGAGCTCTTTGGATATGTGCATTATTTGCTATTATATTTAAAAAAATTTAAATGGATAAATATAAACTGACATACCTGCTCTTGGTTTAGATTGAGCAATTGGCTTCTGAAAAAAGACAAGACAAGAGAGAACAACTGAGAATACTGAGGGAACACTAATCTTCGAGATAATTTCTTTTAAAAAAATACTGCATATTCATATGCACATCAGCAACAAAGTATGACAACTAGGCTAATAAACTTTAAAACGCTGGATTGATAAATACCTTAATGTTGATCATTTGCTGAATTTCAATGACATTCCTGCAACCCTTGACATCTATTTGAAAAGCCTGTGTTAAGAAAATACAACCATGTGAAACACTGCTGTCTTTGTTTTTTTTTTTAAATTTTATAATAATCGTTGACAAAATAATTAGGCTTACTTTGAGGAAAAACGAAAACACTGATGTTTTTGGAAGAGCGATGTCTTCTGCTTTCATTCCAACAATATCACCTGTAAAATGATTATTGATGAATTACTGACGAAAAAAGCCTTGAATTATTTACTCATAATTAGGTCCATGTTGAATCTGCACACTAGAGTACTATAACCTAAATTGCACTGATTGCTTAAAGTCAATGTGAATTATAGTTACAACTCATTTTTACTTCCACAGGGTTTCTGCAGGCTTTATTAAGGTCAATTTAAGACTTTTTTTAAGACCTAGTAAAGAAATTTTAAGGATTAAAAGGAAACACAATGTGTCTCTCTTACACAATATGTAAAACAATGCTCTCTAAATGTCTATCATTCTTACAATAAGTTCTCTAAATATAAATATCTAAGGAACTCACAATGAGCTGTATTAGCAGAACTTCAAAATACAGCTTCCAAACGATCTCCATTATTTTTAATTCATTAAAAAAAAAAAAAAATTACTCAAGGCTTGAATAACTATCAACCACTAGAACTAGTATGGAAATAACTTTTTGTCTTGTTTTCCAGTGCAGATGTCTAAAATGTCTATAACAAAAATCTGTCAGTGGGCTCAGATAAATGTAACTTCATTAAAAGGGAAATATTCATATATACTTTTGACAGATATTGGTTCTTGTTTTGTAAGCAATTTTGTAAAAATGGTTAAGACTTCCGTTTTAAATTGGCATCTCAAATAAATATATGTTCATTTAAGGATGTTCGATATTTGTGCTGGAAAACAAAAACAGGAAGATATTCATTTTGGCAATGCATGCAACATTTAATGCGATGACTCTATGAATTTATGACTTTCTGCTCTGATGTAAGACCTTTTTTATGGCTATAAATTTTGGAAGGGCAAATTAAGACTTTTTAGGACCCACAGAAACCACCCTTTCATAATGTGCTACATTTTGAAGTGAAACAAGATATTTAACAGGAAGAAGGGGCAAAACTTTATTTATCAGCAATTAACTGTCTGATATGCGAGGCTGCTCAAATATTGCTTCAGTACCACAAAAATGTAGGTGTCTTGTCAGAAGTGAAACAAGGGTCCGTACCTTCACAAAATGTGTTTTTATTCACTGGAGCAGGCAGGATCACATTACCAATCCATGGGGTGATGGCTTTAAAGAGGTCATTATTAAGGCTGGCCATGTCCTGAACCGACCTTCTTTTCTTAATATTTTTTGGACTTGTCATTTTCTCCTTTAGGTCATTTTGAAAGGACAAAATCATACAATCAATATAAGGTAAGTGTATCATTTATTTAAATTAATATATTATAATTAATAATATTAATTATTATTTTTTTAAAGTATGACATTATGAATACAATACTACCTTAACAGTCTTAAATCTGAATAAGGCTATAGTTTTAAATCTTGTTAGCTTATTAGAAAGTGGCAACTATTTTCTATTATACTTAAATAGTAATAATGTAATGGCCTTATTTACTATAAATGTGTATGCGTTTGTGTTAACCATACCTTCTTAACTACAGATGCTCCCTTCCACTGCAGGAAATGTTTAATATCACTCACAGACACCTTGAGCATGGCCTTCTCATCGTCAGTCTGCACGCATGAAATTAAATTCACTTTTATACAGAAGCACTGCAGAACGTATAAATAAAACTAAATAAAAACTAATCTGACCTAAAAAGAGAAAGGAAAAAGAAAACATCTTACCTGACTCTGCAAGACGGTAGGTTTCAAACCTACATAAGTTCTTTCCACGTTTCCAAAGCGGTTCAGGATGGTATTGCGCACTAAAGCGAGCGTGACTTTTGGACATTTGCTGTTCTTTGATGGAATGCGGCCTGAGCCAGATTCTAGAGTGGATTTCTCTAGCTCCTCCTCATTGGAGGGAGGATGGACCCACACAGTCCTGACAGTTTGTAGAGAATGAACCCCTGTGTTTGCATTTACAGGTATCCATGCCTTCATATCTGGCTGTACGTAGTCCTTTCGTGGTATTTCCCGAACTTTGACTAAGGGAACATCTGTTTCAACATCACTGTCCATATACTTTATATGTTTTTCGTCCTCGCTGGATGTGAGTATCTCCTCTTTAATAGTTTTCAATGCTTTTTGTCTTTTTCTTTTTCGTGGCACTGTTGTTGGCTTCCTTTGTCTTTTTTTGCCTTTACCCTGACATGCTTTACTCTTACTCTGAAAAACAGAAGCAACAACCAAATGTGTATATTTATGATATTTAATCTTCTTGAAGGATGCAAGATATACTGAAGAATGAACTTACAGCTTGTGTTAGTAATTTCCACTTGTTTAGGCACTGGCAGTCAACCCGGTTTGGGATCTCTGAGGCAATCTTAGTCCACTTGCCTGAAAAACAGATGTGCCCACATGTTTTAATACGAAGGGCCAAAAATCTAACTTGACTGAGGGCCATGGCCCCCCCCCAAAAAATAAAACTGAAAATAAAATTGAAATATTTAAACAAAAATGTAAATAATTTTTAAAATTTGATAAAAAAAAAAAAAAGAATTACAAATGAAGATATGTTTCAATGGCATTTCATTTATTTATTGTTATTTATTTATTGTCTTGAGGTGTCAAAGCTGCATGTCACTTCACAATATTTTCACTAACCATGAAACTATGAGCTGAGAGCAAAAGTAAAATAAAATTAAAATCTGTTAGTTTAAAAATGTTTAATTTTTGCAAAGACACTTTGCATGCATCATTTCAAACAGTTGGAACAGTTCTACACCTTTTGTTAGATTTGCTTGTTAGATGGTAAAAAACAAAATAACAACAATGAAAAATTATTTCAATGTCATGATGAATCATCTCCTATATTAAGTAACATCATGAGCTGGCCTTAATGTAATGGTCATTAGTTATTTAAATACACTACCATTTAAAAGTTTAGGGTTGCTAAGATTTTTTTTCATGTTTTTAAAGTCTCTTATGCTCACCAAGGCTGAACATATTTGATCAAAAATACAGTGGAACAGTAGTTTTATAAAATATTTTTTACGTTAAAATAAGCTTTTAATACACATTTAAAATGTACTCCTGTGATGGCAAAACTGAGTTTTCAGAAGCCATTACACCAGTTTTCAGTGTCACATGATCCTTCTCAGTTAACAGTATTGGTTGATAATGGATATTTAAATGGATACCGGATATTGTTTCTGCCTATTTTAAGGCTTATTAAAGCTAATTTATTGAGGTAGTGATGGTTAATTCCAAAGATTTAACCTTTTAAGAGGGATATCACTTACCAACACCATATTTTGCAACCTTTTCTTTTAGTAGTTCCACCTCCTCTTTGCTCCAAGGACCCTTTTTCACATTCTGCTGAAGACAATCCAAATACCTAAGATGCACAAATATTCACATACATATCAAGCACCAGTCAATCCAGCCAGATTTCAGGGATGTTATTTTGAAACATTACTTAGAAATGTGTCATACAGTACCTGTCACGACAAGCACCGTCAGTCCTGCCTGGGACTTCCAATCTGATTTTCCCCCATTCTTTGGTGCCATATTTTGCGACAGCATTCCGCAACAACTGATATGAGAACGGTTAGTCAATTTAGTGAACATAGGCATGTGTGACTGCAACAGATTTTAAAACATGACGGAATATGGTATATCGCAAAAACAATGCATTAAATCAGTTTCTCATTTACTAAAAGAGAGTAGAATATCCACAATTAATTATGCTCCATACCTGGTCCTCCTCTTTGGACCAGGGGCCTTTCTTTATAGAGGGATCCAAAACGGATGTCCAGCGATATGCCAGCTGTGATCCATCACGGCCCTCCATGAAGTATGACACTATGGAGATAATAAATAATAGAAATATTTAGCCCGTGATTTTCCAAAACACAATTGAAGAAAATGAAATCTATAAATTAAACCTGTTATAAAGGACATATTCTTACATTTAAACCAAATAGTTAAAAAACAATTTTTGAAAAGTGCAGATGGATGCAGGAATGCATTGTGTGTGAACAATCCCTTGTTGTTCCCTCAGTGTTTTTTTTTTCTATCTATATAAGAATAAAATCTATATTATATATATCAACTATTTTATTTTGAATTTGGCTTATCCAATCTTATTTCAGAGTCAGAATGATCCGTTTTAGAAACAAATATGCAACATTCAGTACAAACGCTCAAGAAGATCCAACTGTCTCACTCTGTATGTAAGGAATGAAGTTGCCAATTTTCATTTTTTCAACAAGTTTTCTGAGGATCTCATCTTCCTCTTTTGTCCACTCTTTCCTTCTGAAGGTCTTTGAAATGTAGCGCTGGTAAGTCTGGAAGCACATGAAAGCCGTTCTATTTGTCTGGAAAAAAAAGACACACACACACATAATATATATATATATATATGTATATTTATACGTCAAAGGCATTGTATGGTGAATGTTGCATTGTTAAACATATTGAAAACCTTTCCATATTGAAAATCAAATAGCATGTTAACATTAGCTGCAGTTTTGAATGTGCATGAATTTCTCTACCCTTACCCCAAGAGCCTCTGCGATTTTGTCCCAATGGCAGCAATTGTACTCTTCCACAATTCTTTTCAGTTCATCAATCTCATCCTGTTTCCATACTGACTTGTTAATGGAGGGGTGCAAATAGTTCTGCCAGAACCTTTTCAAATCCTCAGCCTGTCGCAAACCTTCAAACTATCAACCAAAAACACATTCTTTCAATCTTTTGAAATGGAAAACTGATGTTAGAAGACAGAACAAGATTTATTTGGATGCACCTTAATAAAACAACTACATAACTTACGTCAATATTTGATATTTTCTCCCAGTCATGATCGTCATGGCGATTACCCAGCAGCTGATCGTCTCTCAGGGCACTAAGATGATATTACAACGTTTGATAACACATTTTTTTTTGCACACAACCATTCAAAAGTTTGGGGGTCTTAAGTTTTTTTTTTTATTGTTTTCAAAATAAGTCTCTTATGCTCCCAAGGCTTCTTATACAGTATTTGATCAAAATACAGTAAAACAGACATATTGAGAAATATTAGTATCATTTAAAACAACTGTTCTCTATTTGAATACATTTTAAAATCCAATTTATTCCAGTAATGGCGAAGCTAAATTTTCAGCAGCTTTTACTCCAGTCTTTAGTGTCACATGATCCTTCAGAAATCATTCTAATATGCTGATATGGTCCTTAAGAAACATTTCTTATAATTATGAATGTTGAAAACAGTTGTGATGCTTAATATGCATTTTTTGCATCCTTTGACGAAAGCATTTATTTGAAATAGAAATCTTTTGTAACATTGTAACTGCATAGACTGCTTTCAAAAAAATATCTCTGACCTCAAACCTCTGAACCGTAGTGTAGGTACAATCTTACAGGACATGTTCTCTTAGACGAGGTTCTTAATATGCCTTTACCTTATTTCTGCAATTTCTTTCTCGATTAAATCGTTTTGTTTTTTCAATTCTTCTTTTCCCTCATCATCAGCTCTAGACATCTTGGCACTCAGATAGTCCAGCCTAAGAAAACACACTACATTGGAAGCTCTCAAAATGTAATAAAAACAGCCTTTATCTACAAAAGTACACATATACTTCAATTTAACAGAAAAAGCAAACTTGCATTTCTAAATGCTTTTAGAAAAAATGCTTTTTTTATCCAAATTGCACAGACAAGGCAACCATAATCATATATTTAAGTTTAGTTTTCCTTTTTTCCAGAACTCACTTGGATAGTTTGGGTTGTAGCATCCGTTTCATGGTGTCTTTGGCGACTGCGTCAGTCAGCAAAGTTTTCTGCCAACCGTCCCCTGAAAGAATTAACCAGCATTTTATTTTTATTAAAAACTCAGTTAGATACAAGTAATATCAAGCACGCATGCTGCCATAAAACATACATCTTTTTATTTCATCAATGGTTCTGGAATCATGACTCAGTCTCGCTTTAGTTTCTTCATTTGCTGGAGGGCCCTAGAAGCAAACAAAAGAATTAATAAAACTTCACAGGAAAGAAATATAATAAAATAAAAAAGACTTCCAGTATTAGTTTCATAACATACCAGACCAGTGAGTTTGTCTTTGAAGTAAGGCTTCATGAAGTATCCAAGAAATAGTTTCTGAGGGGGAATTCCTGGTACGGAGGAGCTAGAAGTGCTTGGGCCAGAGATCTGGGCCTCAATCTCTTTCTGTGGAGATACAGTTGGCTTTAAAATGGTTCTACTGTAATTAAACCCATGCAATCGAGTGGCATGAAGACTCTGTTTTAATGAACTGCAGCCTTGATGTTTGTTGTTCACCTGCTGCTGTTGATTCTCATTGAGGAGTTTTTCCAGCTCAGCTAGTTTCTCTTTCAACACCTCCTGATAGACTAAATTCATTTGCAAGCAAGTCTCCACATTTTGAGGAAGATCCAACTCATCATCATCACTGTCTTCATCACTCTAATGAGAGCAGAACAATACTGTATTATAAGCATTTAAAACAATGAGAAAATGCAAAAAAAAATTGTGTCAGCACAAGCATGTATCAAAGAAACAATGTGGAAACTCACAGAATCAGAGTCATGTTCCCTCTCTGTTTTACAAAATAAAAAACACAAATAATTAAGACGAATTAATTTACAAACAAATTATTTGTATAGCTGAAACAGCAGACCCAATAATGAAATGCAATAATCGCTATGAATACTAAGATATTATTTACCATCCAATACATCGACCAGTGCTGCATTAGCACCAAGTGTATTCTCTAACTCTTCAATCTCCCGCTGTATCCGCAAACGCTTTGCTTCCAAGTCATCGCGCTCCTAGAGGCAATTACAAGCAATTAAAAAAAATGTAAGTAAAACATTACATGAAGAATATTACATTTAATTTCTATGGTGTGTTATTATAACCATGCGGTTTTCTAAATTCTTACCACTCCTTCAACTTCAGGTCCACTGTAATCAGATTCATCATCTGTCAAGGAAACGTTATGACATTAATATAAGGCACAGAGCACAGGCCAAATACAAGGCCCCTACACTTTTTGGCCAATGCAATTCCAAGACTTTTCCATGACCATTCCAGTTATGTTGGATCACTTCTGATTCATTTAGACAATTTTGTGAATAAATTTGATATAAAAGAACGATTCACTTAATTCACTCACTGGCGAATTAGTGCAATTCTCTCACAGTTAGGAGACAGTGACTTACCGTCACTGCTGCTGTCAGATGACAGTAGGTCTATGATTCTGCTTTCTGCACCCAGAGTACTCTCAAGAGCCAAAATCTCCCTCTGGATTTTATCCCTCTTCACAAGCAACTCGTTCGATTCCATGATAGACGAGGTGAGACCTGAAAACCCAACTTTTTACAGGTTACTGGGTTACAACATTGTACAGTTTGCCAATATGACCTTACTAATTTGCAGTGGTGTAAAGTGCATGAATATTATTCTGGGCATATTTCACAGGTCTAAATAATTTATTGTAATTACAAAACAAAGTCTATTTTATTCTCTCTTGTGAATTTTTATTCTCTCCTGTGAAAACAGCCAATGAAACCACTATGATTAGATAATTTTCCTTTTAAAAAGATGTCTCATCTACATCAAATCACAGAATTTACAGCTGAATTTAAAATGTTAAAAAAATTAATCTTAAGTGTTTCTTACATAGAAAAGGGTTGGTTTACAAAGTCTCTTTATTTCAGTTTAAACACCGTACTCAATTATTCAATTAAATGTAAAATGAATTTCTATTTATTTATCATTTTTTTGGTTACATAATAGAGGGTGAGCATTTTGTTTTTCTTTTGATTCAGTACCTACTTTCTATTTACTTGTAACGTTTCACATCGATTCAAATGTAATGCTGTAGTAAAAAAACTATAAATATATAAACAAGTATCTAAAAACCTTCTATATTCAATATAAAATGTAAAGCCAAACTCACTTCTAGCCCACGAAGTAGAAAATACAGTACATGAGTGTTTGGCAACCGGAAAGAAACGTATAGCAACCAAATCTCTAGTTTGTCTGTGCCGAGCAGACGTGTACTTGCATTAGCTTTCCTTCAATGCATCATGCTGCTATTTGCTTCAGTATTGCAGCTCTTCTATCACACCAACAAAACAAAAACGCCTGCTGGATCCTGCAGCATCACTGCACACTTTTCTAAATGTCCCAATCAAATCTTCCTGTGCAGCAGCATGTTTACAAAGAGTGCACTTTGGGACTTTGCAAACTAGATTTACACTTGTTACGCAATAAATCAAAGCCGTCGCTTTGAATGGTAGGTTGCAAATATCACAAAGATTTATGTAAATCTTACTTAAACTTTAAAGAATAATTCTCCCCTAGTAAAACTACTCGACGCTCATATAACGTTGTGTACAAACATGAAGCGCGCGTCAATAGTGCGTCATCCTCACTAACACTTCATAATAAAAGTCCCATCGCCTCTCAGCTAGTCTTCTTCTTCTTCTTCTTGTGTGATTTGCGGCAGCTTAGACGCTTCAAAGGCGTATTGCTGCCCTCCTCAGTTCATCTGAAGAACTCCATCTCATAGATTAAATTCTCAAATGAAGACCAATGTGGAGTAAAAAACTTATAACAACCTTTGTTGCTTCATATTCCTTATTTTCAAGAATCGATTTTAAAGATAAAGACGAGACTCCGGATTCCAACAGGGCCTCTCAGCTATCTTTTTCTTCTTGGTTTTTAACGGCGCCTGGCACAAACGCAAATAGGTGCCACCTTCTGCTCCGGAGTGTGGAACAGAATTTTATATTCTATTTATCAACTCCGTTTCTCTAATAAAATCAAAGAAGACTTTACTATTTATTTCACGTGCCCATTTTATTAAAACCTTAAAATTAAGATCCTGAATTCCATTTTTCCTCTTTCTTGTTCGTAATTGCTACATTCAAGAAATACATGAGGTATTGTTCCTTCAATATGACATTGCTCCCATAACCCATGTGGATGTTTCCCTATTATTTTAAGTGTGCTATTTAAATTTGAGTGCCTCTCAGCTATCAAACTAGAAAATGTTTTAGTATGTTCGTTACTATGCTAATAAACATTAAATGTATAATTACTGCTTTAATATTTAGCATAGATATTGTATGTTGTATAAAAGGTAGATATAAAAAGGCAGATAAAAATTTTTTTTTTCTTAATTTAGCATCTATTAAATGTTAGCGCAATAATTTAGAGATACTAATTGTTGGATTCTCAAAGAATAACAGGACCACGTGACTGAAATAATCTTCTTTGTTCAATCAATAAAGAGCATTACGAATATAAGGCACACAATCCAATGTTGATTAGTAAAGTGTTTTTAAATAAACAAATACTTAAAGGTGACATATCATGAAAATCGGACTTTTCCAGGTTTTAAGTGCTATAATCAGGTCCAGATCAACCCAGTAACTTTGTTTTGGTAAGCCTTTTTCTGCAAGCGTCTGACAAAAGAAACACGTCTGATTTCGCGCCCCTTGTGACTTTGCAAAGGGATCTCATTATAATATTACCGCCCCTTAATCTGTAAGTTTCCACCCATGACTCCATCATTTTGATTTCGCAAGCGGCAACGGTGTACCAGGTCTAATGACATGGCGAAAGTCTGAGCAAAACATGCTAACTGTTCTGTCTTTGGAACACTATTTAGAGTCCCAGCCTCAGAGGAGACAAGAGAGCAGTGGATTTATTGATTTATTTACTGTATATTGCTGCTGCCACACAGATCTAAAATAAACATGCAATTTATTTCCCAGCTGTTTACCTTCACAGACATAACCGACTGTTTTTGTAACTCGTGTGTTTTTAACATAAACTTGTGTGTGAATGAGAACTTAGTTTAGTACTCGCATGCTGTGACAGCCGCTTTCTGTACGTGTGCTTCGGTTGTGTTCACTCAGAAAACCATATCAGAAGTTTAAACTAATGGTTTAAAACGCATGATTTCAGCGCAATAAACATGATAATCAGAACCAAAACAAATGTTTTTTAGCAGGTACAAGCTGTTCTGGAAAGGGGGCGGGGAGCAGCAGCTCATTTGCATTTAAAGAGACAGGCCCGAAAAACAGCGTGTTTCTGCTTCCACTCAAAATAGGCATTTTCAAAATGATATAATAATGGATCTATAGGGTATTTTGAGCTAAAACTTCACAGACACATTCTGGGGACACAAGAGACTTATATTACATATTGTAAAAAGGGGCATAATATGTCTCCTTTAACATTTTGTAATTTAAAACAGCAGAAATATAAAACATGTTAAGTTATATATCAAAATACTATCAAGAAACAAAATCTGGTTAATAATCTGCAATAGAATAGAAGTGACTTGACTCATTGTTTAATAAAAGTGCAAAACGTTTTTTGAAAATATTGTTTCCACATACTCTACTACAGTGGTTCCCAACCCTGGTCCTGGAGGCACCCCAACACTGCAAGGGTTGGGAACCATTGCTCTACTACAATATAGATCTTTGATTTTGGTGAGAATCCAAGGCACTATTTGGTACACTTAAGTATTTATATGCTTAAGTTCCTGCTAGAGCTTACTTTGGTCATCATTTGGCCCATCACACCTCATTTTGTTATTTTATATAAACTTAACATGATGCTAATGAAGTGGATGAACAAAATAAACAATGATGCACCATGCAGTGAGTCTATAGTGTACAGAACATGATGTTTGAAGAAAAAGTCAATCATGAATCTCGGTGATCTTGTCAATAGATGTCAATAACTGGGAAACAAAACAGAGTGTCTCTCTTCCTGACAGCAACTGCCTGTAAAAATACAAAACACATTCAGTGCAATGATATATTAGATAATTTATTTACATTTCTGATCATTATTAAATGATTGTAGAAAAGCACAATAAAATGTAATGGTCATTGTTAATAATACTTGATAGAAGTCTCTGCATCTTGAGCTGCTTTGTTAAGGTACTCAGAGGCCACTTGTGCATTGTGTCTCATTGTAGTTAAGGCTGTAGTTTCTCTATATCTTAGCCTCTCATTTTCACTTTTATATCCTTCAAGCTGGCCCTGGGATGAAAACATTACAAATAATTGCAATAATGGAGTTTTAATCTGAACAATAACAGATGTGAAAAAATATTTTGATCACAAATTCACAAACTTGTAATACAGTAGTATATAGCTGGATTACATTATATATGTACCATTATACATAGTATGCTTTTTTCAGTGTGCTTGTGGAAATGAAAAGAAGTCAAACCTGGAGTTGTTGTATCTCTTGTTTCAATTTTGAAATACTATTTTCAGCTTTGACTGCTCGCTTCTGTATTGGATAAAACAGAATTTTTAAAGCATTTTAAGATGAAGATTTACACTCAAATTAATTGAATAAACCTTAATAAAAAAACTGTCATATGAATGATAACACAGTGCTTAATACCGTCATTAACTGAAGGTTTTGTTCTACTGACTGCACCATTGTCTCCAAAGCCTTAGCCTCTCTCTCCTCCTGTAACTTCTTGTTGTGCAACTCATCTGTCAGTTGTTTGATCCTATTACAGTTGGATAGTTTAACAATGAGAAATCTTCTAGAAACTTAAAAAAAAAGCACAGCAGCAATTCATCTAAATTCCAGTCCATTAAATGAATAAGCCAAAAAGGAAAATTTGCTGAACATTTACCCTAAGGCCATACAATATCTAGATCAGCTTGTTTCTTCATGGACTGGAGTCGTGTGAATTATTGTGATGTTTTTATCATCTGTTTGGACTCTCATTCTAACGGCACCCATTCACTTGCAGAGGATCCACTGGTGAGCAAGTGATGTAATGCTAAATTTCTCCAAATCTGTTCCGATGAAGAAACAAACTCATCTACATATTGGATGAGCTGAGAGTGAGTGAATTTTCACTTTTGGGTAAACTAGCTAATCTTGAATTACCTCAAAAGAATTACAATTAATTTGTTATTTTACATTTAGTAATGTATATAATATTACAATTAGTGTAAATAGATTACCTTTTGGAGTCAGATTCTGACCTTCTAAGGAGTTCTTTGACTTGCTTTCTGAGTAGAGAATTCTCTTCTCTAAGCTAAAACACATAAAACATAAAAAACACCTTTAAACATTCATTTTTGAAAAGCAGCATTGCACCAATTATAATGTAACAATTGACTCATGTATATGCAAAACCTCACACCATTCACAATTCACACAACATACCTGTTGGGGATTCTTTGTGCCATTTTCAGCATTACCCCTCTTCGGATGGAAGGAAACATCAATCACTGAAGTCTCTTCATCACCCTCATAGCTTCCTGTGCTTCTTCTAGCTAAGTTGTTCTTTGGCAGGAAGTCAGAATCACCCAGTTCCCATTCAGTTACATTTGCTTCCCTCTCATCACTGCACAGAGATGATTGCTCAGAGTAAGCACCGAGGTCTAAATTACCACATAGTTTGAAGTCATGAGAACCATCAAGGGCTGATGGGTGGCAGCTTTCAATCCATGTTTCCTCAGGTTCGTCTTCAGAAGGCTGACAGAGCGCAGACGGGTCTGAGAAGAACGGCCCCTTCGTGGCAAAATCTATGGAGGTGTTATAGTCCTGTTCGACGTGGAATGCTCCACCACACACCTTCGGAAAATCAAACATATATGAAATATTATAAAAAAAAAAGACAAGACGAGCCAAGAATCTACCAGCAATGAAATTCTACAATACACATTCATATATGTAAATACACAAACGTGAACCCTACTTTCATGTCTTTAAAGGGACATTAAAGTAAGGACATCAGTCAAAAAAGTCATGAAATCTACTAAACCTTAAAATCTTTGTCATGTTGTTTCTCACCTCTGTGGCTTCTGTAGTACAAGACTGCTGGTTCTTGTTTCTGACGAACTCCTTGAAAGAAAATGGATTCAGCTCATCTTGCTTTGGCTCATCTGAAAAGTAAATTTGTACAAGACATTAAAAATGAAGATTTCACGCCCAGAATGTTTTATATAAAAACCTATAATACATATTCAAGACAGACAGTTAGTGCTGCATTATAATCATGATGCATTATAGAAAGAGCAAAAGACAAGTAGGTTGACACATACCATCTTCAACGATGAGCTTTTTCGTCTTGTGTTTAGACATGTTAACTTACAGATTCAGCTTAAACGGAGACGTAAACTATCCTGCTAAATACCTGAGCTCAACATTACACGGTGTGTAGGAGAGGAAAAGAGATGAAGTACTGCAGAAAGTAAAATGTATTCCCAGTAAATGTTTCGCTTAATTATGGTCAATGTCAAATATTATGTCATAAACCATAATATTATTACTGTATCTCACAAATAGTACTAATCTCCCAATGTCTCTCCTTCTGTATGGCAGAGAGCAGTTTTACTACAGGGAACATGTATAATACCGCCACCTATTGACGTGGAAGATAAAAGTTTATAGATTGGAATGATGGCTGACGTCTAGTTATGGGAAATTCTGACTTTTGCATATTAATTGCCAAAAATATATTAATTTCGATTATTCTGATATAATAAAACATTCCTGGTGTTTTCCAGATTCGATAAAAGTTTATAGATTGGAATGATGGCTGACGTCTAGTTATGGGAAATTCTAACTTTTGCATATTAATTGCCAAAAATATATTAATTTCGATTATTCTGATATAATAAAACATTCCTGGTGTTTTCCAGATTTTTAAACCAACAGTGTATCAGATATAATATTAGTTAAATAATAACTAATAACGAAATCTTAATAACCTTGTCGACCTTTTGCATTTTAACGTGAATGGAGCAAGAATTAACAAGAATGTGCAAACCCGAGTTTAGCCTACAAATACACAATTCTCTTATACAACATTAAAGAACTTCCACCTGGCTCAGGATAATTATTATTCTACCTAAATGCAAATAATATTGGTTAACTTCTTATGAAATTTTCACTTGTATAAGTGTGATGTACTGTATATAAATATATACATCAGTTATTTTAAAACTTTTATGAGAACTTTTAACGTTTACACTATTACTGTTTCTTTCTTTCTTTCTTTCTTTCTTATTTATTTTAATAATTGTCGGTCAATGTGTAGTTTTTGTGTAGTATATTTTATAAACACAATTTTACATTTACTTAAATTGTAGTATTATGCGGGCATTACACTGTTTGTACGCGTGTTTGTAGGTAGGTAGATATCTGGCAGGAATCGGAAATTTCGTTTTTTTTTTTTTATCAAAGTACAGATGAAAACATCCCGTTGTTTTCAGTGGCAGAGCTTTCCAAGTTTTAGGGATTGCCGCTCCCATCCGAGGCTGTTTTGAAAGCCTGCAGCACGACGCGTCCGCGTGTTTGCCTACTTCCACCAATCACAGTCCGCGACAGCACGCATGCGCACTGCTGCGCTCTACCGACTCCGGTCGTTCTCGCATCGCAGGTGTCAACTGAGCGAGCGTCTCTGTTGCAGCTGTGAGTGAGCAAACCTCCCTGTCCCAGCGAAAATATATCAGTCCTACGGAGCGGGCGGGCAGGACAGATCGGACGGCCTGAAAATGTCCGAATGAGACCGTGAGCCTGTGTCTGTTGCCAGGGCAGGTTTAAGCGGAGAAGAGGGCGGCTTTCCGGGCTGTAGACAGCGGGCTCGCGGAGCGTCTTCAGCGGGGAGCGCTGCGGTCCTGCCGCTGCTACAATGTTCGTGCAGGAGGAGAAGATCTTTGCAGGCAAAGTCCTGAAGGTCCACATCTGTACCATGGAGGGCACTGAGTGGCTGGAGGAAGTTACGGAAGACACCACTATAGAGAAACTCAAGGAGAAATGCTTAAAGCATGTAGGTCTGCCATCGGTTAGCTGGCACTGTTAGCCAACCCGGACAGGACAGGACAGGACAGGACAGGCCCGGCCCGGCCCGGCCCGGCCCGCTGGATTCTCAGAGTCATTGCCAAGTATTTTTAGTAACTAGCAGACGAGTCGACGGTGCTATTTATAATTTAGCAAGCTGGTCCGTCACCTCCGTCTCTGTGGCTGTACTGTAACTACCACTGCCACACTGGTTGGTTTACAGTGTAGAGCTGACATTAACTTGTTGACAGCCTCTTCAATATATCTGTCAAGTACTCCGATCTGTGCAGCTCAAGGCACCTTGACACCCATTCACATTTTCTGTGAGGATGTGATTTGCACATTTTATGGCTTTAAGGTTGTGAATGTTTTTGTAATAATTTTAGCAGGTGGCATCGCCACAGACTAAGTCAAGCCATGTCCTAGCTACAGTGTGCAATGTGTACCATGGTATTACCCTGTGCATAATGTCACAATTATACCAAGTTTTATGGACATGTATAATGACAATACCATAGTGTTCTTTAAAGTACCTTGGAGTATCATGTAAAAAGCAGGATACATTAATTATTCAGTACCAAGGTGTATATCAATATACCATGGGTCGTAAGATAGCAGCACTTTTGCTGCTATTGAAGTGGAATTCGGTTAAGGTTAGGGACAGGTATGGTGGTATGGTTAGGTTTAAGGGTGGGATGTGGTGTAAGGGTGGGGTTGACAGTGTAACTAAATTCTGTAGTGCATGTATATGCAGGTAGTTTTAAATATACTGTTTAAAACATGTATGCAATAAGAACATTGTATCTATTGATTATATATTTCAATGTTAGTACATAATAGTTAAAGACACTTAATATAAAGTAGGTCGACTTTATTGGTATTTTTCTTCTCTTACAGTATGTCCATGGAAGTCTGGAGGATCCTAAAACTCTTACACATCACAAACTCATTCATGCTGCCACTGAGAGAATTCTCACAGAATCCAAAACAGTTGCTGAGGAAAATCTTAAAGACAAAGGTATTTAAACTTTCTGGTGCATCTGGTTGTTCTTTGTTGTGGCATTTTCCACAACAATATTCAAAGGCCCCCATGATTTTTCAATTTTTTTGTGATTTTACTGGATAAGGATTAAGGATAATTATTTAAAAAAAAATCTCACAATTTGTATCGTATTTACTATTTTATATTCGGTACAAAAATTCCCATTGAGTTATAAGATTTTAGTAATTTATATGACTTTGTCATATATCCATGTTTTTCAAGAGAGTGGGAACCCTGATTCTCCAAAAAAAATAAAAATAATAATAAATAAAATGTTGAGGGAGTGAATTGATATAAGACATATCTTTATTTTTAATAGTTGTAGCTGATTTTAATGCTTTTTTGTCTTATTTTAAAGTCACCATTAAATTAAACTGGAACATTTTTTATTCTTTCAGTGGAACATTACAGTGTTTATTATAAATCATTCATCCATTTAAAAAAAATAATTGTGGACTCTTGTTATCTTTAATCAAATGCATAAATTGTTTTAATCATTTAATTCATCTTGAGGCCCCTTTGGAAGCTTGCTAAGGCCCCCTGTTGGGTCCCAGCCCCTGGTTAAGAACCACCGATCTAGGATGTAGTCATCATGTTTTGCATATGTTCTTTTATATTTAAAATCAGATTCTAAAAGACACGAATCCTGATTCATTATTGTTTGTTTTCTAGACTGCTTATTATTGATAAAGAAAAGACCTCCACCGGCTCCACCAAAAATGGCCGACATATCTTCTGAAGAGAAGGTATCTGTTGACAGGTTTTTTTTTTTTGGGGGGGGTGGGGGGTTATTTTTAATAAATAATGTACATTACACTTCTAAGCTTTGATTCTTCAAAATTGATCTGTCTTTGTGCTTGTTGACAGAAGAAGCAAGAGAACAAAGCACCAGATAAGGAGGCCATCCTCAAAGCCACAGCAAACCTGTCCACTCGTAACACTGACCGCACTGTAACTCAACACAATATCAGAGATGTGGGTGCTTGCAGTCAGTTCAGTTAGACCTTTCTGCATTGCAATTGTTTAGAATATAGAATATAGTGTTTTATGATTTCTTTGTTTCCATCAGTTTCAAACAGAGCTGAGGAAGATTCTGGTCTCACTTATTGAGGTGGCTCAGAAGCTGCTGGCTCTGAATCCAGATGCTGTTGAGCTCTTCAAAAAGGCCAATGGTAAGCTATGGCTGTATGAATAGAACCCTGAATGGATTAAATCTATTTAAGCCTTGGTGAAACAATTAATTACCATGCTTTTCAGACATCTGCTATGGTAATGCTATGTTTATTTGAAGTACCATAGAGTTACATTGCTGTACCATAGTACTGCCACAGTATTTGTTTTTGCGAGAGGTCGTTTTTAACCTAATTTTTTTTCAACTCTGATGAACACTCAGAACCGTTCTCATGGGACATGTCTGACTAGTCAGTGTGCAGGTGTAAATATCATTTTGCTCTTGTGATTATTCTTTGTATCTCTCCTCTCTGGCAGCCATGCTGGATGAGGATGAGGAGGACCATGTGGATGAAACAGCCCTGCAGCAGCTGACTGAGATGGGTTTTCCTGAGAGTCGTGCTGTGAAGGCTCTGCGCTTAAACCAGTGAGCACTCTTTATTATTGGGTGATAAATATGCCTGTGAATAGTGCATTTCCAGTATTTCAGAATAAAGTCTAAGAGAGCACTCTCATATTGGTCAGTGAAGTAGTGCTGGGCGGTATACCGGTTCATACCGAATACCGGTGTTTATTTTTGTTATGATATGAATTTTTAAAATACCGCAATACCGGTGTATGTCGCTTAAACAACGTTCGGAACACGACACTGTTTGAAAGGGGTCCCTTTTCACTGTTGCACTGTGTTGAGGGAACAGCTGTATAAGAGTGAAAGTTCCGAAACTGAAGCTGTAGAACTAATAGAACGTGATGACAGAAGAACTCATCCACAATATCCACATTGACCGCCACAAATATCCACCGCCCCCTGCCATCAGCTCCCACGTCGGTATAATTTTGAAAAATACCGTGATATACATTTTTGGTGATACCGCCCAGTACTACAGTGAAGCATAAACAAAAATAACTTGCTGTCAATTTTAAGTACAATTTCAATCATTATATGATTATATGATGTAATGTTTCTGAATAAGAATGATAAAATGAGCAAACATAACATTATCAGTGTGTGCCAACTCTCAGTGGATTAAATAACTAATCACTCTTCCTGCAGCATGTCTGTGACCCAGGCTATGGAATGGCTGATTGAGCATGTGGATGACCCCATGGTTGACACTCCTCTGCCTGGACAGGACACCCCAGGGGCGGCGGCCGCTGCAGCTGCAGCCCCTGCCCCAGCTCCCTCTGCCACAGCTTCAGGAGCCCGGGCACGTCTGTCCTCCCAGGCCAGCCTAGAGGAGGCCAGACAAGATGAACTGACAGAGATCTTCAAACGGATCAGGAGGAAAAGAGAGTTCAGGCCTGACTCACGGGTTAGTGTCATGTGGGTGTCATGAGAAACAGGAGAAGAATAGCTCACTTTTAAACTCAAACGTGATGAAATATTCTGAACCACTGACATACTATGATAATAGCCTCAGTTGTTTAACCAATGCAAGATTAAAGTGTTAGATGGAATAAATGCTTTTCTTTCTTTTTCTTTTTTTTTTTACCCCAACTACATTGCACATTACAATTAGTTTGGTTAATATACCATAGAAATGACCATCAACATGATGCAATAAAACATTATTTCACATGTCACGTCACTTTTTTTTTATTTTACAACATCTGAGAGTAGCTGTCATTGTTAAAAATGTGAATTTTTAGCTTGTATTCATGCATGTCATGATACTGAACCATGGTTTTAATTCATGCTATGCAAACACATTTTCAAGTTTTATTTTAATCAGGTTTCACATATGAAACTTTTTTGTTTGTTTTCTTTTATGTGCTTTTAGCATTATTAATATATTTTTTTATATTTATTGTTCTTTTTACATTTTTATTTCAGTATTTTTATTTTAGCTTTAGTAATTTTAATACTAAATACAACTTCAACTTGATTTCAGTTAGTCACCAAAGCAGCGCTTCTAATTTTTAATTAGTTAGAAAATTCATTTCTAATTTTCTCATGTTCAATTTACAAAAACAATTTTTAAACATTTTAGCTAACAATAGAAACATTTATAGCAAAAAGTTAAAAAACATTAAAACACTTTAGCAACCACATAGCAATGTCCTGGCCACCACCCACAACACACTAACATCATGGAAGTTTTCCACAGTCAAATGCCACTATAGAATTCACTTTTGGTTGGTTGCAAATCCTGCAGTAATTCACATTAAATAGTTACTTCTGTCTTGCTGTGGAATCTTTTTAAATGAGAAGCATCATCTTGTCTGTGTGTTTGTGTGCAGGCAGTCATTGCGCTGATGGAGATGGGCTTCGATGAGAAGGAGGTGATTGATGCCCTTCGCGTCAATAATAATCAACAGGATGCAGCTGTATGTAAACATTCAGAGGATCATCAAATCATGAGTTATTTCAACAGTCAGCTAAGACTAAATGAGCTCAGTCATATTCAGTGAAATGTGTGGTTAAGTCTTTGTTTTGTTTAGTTAAACAACATTTATCAAGGTCACATTTTTATTCCATATCCTTGTTTTGTAACTTCTGTTCCCACACAGTGTGAATGGCTGCTTGGTGACAGAAAGCCCACCCCTGAGGATCTGGACAAGGGCATTGATACCAACAGTCCCCTGTTTCAGGCCATCCTGGAGAACCCCGTTGTACAGCTTGGTCTCACAAACCCCAAGACTCTTCTAGGTGAGTTTTTTCCCCCCTGTATACTCAAAGGTTCTTCAATGCATTTGCTCCAGCTTTGTCAAATCAATTGTATTTTTCAACTTTTCTGTAGAAGACCGACCAAAACATGTTATTTCAAGGTTTTCAAGTGTTTATTTGATTCTATCCATTTGGCCTAATATAGCAAGTTTTCCAGTTCCTCCAGCTAAACAGTAACCCAGACCAGTGATACTGCCACCACCGTGCTTGATGACAGGATGAGGTTATCTGGGTATTGGGCTCTGTGTGGTTTGTGGTAAACACAGCACTTTGCTTTTAGGCCAGAGTGCTCAATTTTCATTTCATCAGACCACAGCAGTTACTTCCAAAGCCTTTCAGGTTTTGCCACATGGCTTTTCACAATATCCAGAATTATCTTGGACTTGCTCGGAAGTGGCTTCCTTTGTAGCCATGTTTGCAAAAAGGGCTTAATCTTGGAAGTGCTGAAAATATTGCTGAGGTCTGGACAGTTTGTCCCATTTGAACCAAAGTGCTCTGCGAGTGAACACTTTGGTCCCTTATTCAAATTTGATCTGGTTGCCCGTTTGCTAAGCTGACTTGAACTTAAAAGTGTCTACACTGTGTAATATTTTGCCAATTGATAATTTTGTATTTTAATATATTTTCATAATTTTTAACCTCCATTGTCACACACAACTGGTGGGATGTTTTAAATGTTTATTTTATTTCTTTACACTAGTGGCCAAAAGTTTTATTGTTTTTGAAAGAAGTTTGTTTTGCTCATTTAAGCTGCATTTATTTGATAAGAAGAGTAAAATCAGTAATGTTGTGAAATATTACTACAATTGAAAATAACCATTTTCTATTTTAATATATTTTATTTAGGTGATGTTTTTTCAGGATTCTTTGATGAATAGGAAATTCAAAAGAACAACATTTATTAGAATTTTTTGTAACATTATAAATGTCTTTACTGTAACATTTGATCAATTGTCTTTACTGTCAGATTTGATCAATGTAATGTGTCCTTGCTAAATAAAAGTTTTAAATTGTACTTAGCTTAAACATTTAAATAATAATTTATCATGGATTCCACAAAAAAATATTAAGCAATAAAGACTGATTAAAAACCAGATTAAAATTAAAAACCAGTTATTTTAAAATGTAACAACATTTCACAATATTACTGTTTTTAGTATATTTATGATGAAATAAATGTAAACTTGGTGAGCATAAGAGACATCTTTCAAAACAGTTAAAAATGTTAATTATTCCAAGCATGTAATTATTCTCAGTATGTGTTCCCTGGAAATCAAACTAATGATGACCTTGGCATTGATAACACTTTGTGCCACAAGATGATCTACAGGACTATTTGTTAACATTTAATGTGATTTTTTTTAAAGTTATTAATACGTTTGTTTGGAGTCCAAGACCACTGTTTAATCATTCAGTGAAACAGACTAAACTGTATTTTCAAGTAGACGCAGTCCAGTCCATGTCAGTTGTTGGTTGGATGTGGCTGAGACATATTTTTCTTGGCTTTGCAGCATTTGAGGACATGCTGGAGAATCCGCTGAACAGCACGCAGTGGATGAACGATCCTGAGACAGGTCCTGTCATGCTCCAGATCTCCAGAATCTTCCAGACACTCAATCGCACGTAAAACACACCTCATCTGTGGAGCGGCTAGAACCACAGCATAGGGAAAAAGGTCAATCATTTAGAAGAGAAGTGTGTGTGTGTGTGTGTGTGTGTGTG